GGTTCTAGTCCCAGCACTGCATAAACCAGGCATGATAGCACATGCCCGTAATTCTAGCACCTGAGAGGCAGAGGCAAAGAAAGATCAGAGTTCAAGTCATCCTTGGCTACATAGCAAGTTCAGGGCCATCCTGGGCTACATGAGACCCTGTCTTTCAAAAGAGTTAAAAGAATATTGACAATTGAAATAGACCTTCCAAGTAGCTGGTCCAAACTCATCATTTTTCAAACAAACAAACAAACAAACAAAAACCCTAAACTCCAGAGGGGGGAAAAATGTGGCTTTCAAAGTTTAAAAGATTTAGTTGCAGCCCTGAGGCCAGGACTCATTAAGATCACTGTTATAGATCTCTTTTCTTTAGGTGGTAGGCCTCGGGTTTTATTGTTCTCCTTGAGAAAGGCCCAGTATGTCCACGTACCCATCCTCGCATGCTTCCAGGAAGAGGGAACTCCTTAGAAACCCAGCAAGTGAGAGGCAGGTTATGAAGAATGATGCCCCAAGGGAGTGCCTGTCACCCACACAGTCTGTGGGCTTCTTATGCTCTCCTCTGCTATCATGAAATCACAGATATAATAATGCAAGTGTGTGTATGTATATGCTCCTTTAGAGTGGTGAACCTCATCATAGTTTTGGGTGTCCCCAGAGAGAATCAAATAAAATTGCACTAGCGCCTCTCAGATTAAAGGCTGAGATAAAATGAGGTCGTGCAACCCACAGGAGAACAGGCCACACATGCAGACCCGACTGGCCTGTCATTCCTTCCCAACACTTGGCTGGACAGACTAATGGGAATGACTCTTTCACAAGACACCCAAGAGGTAGATAAAGACAGTCAGCCCCATGGATGGGTGTAGCACACGGAGGCAAGGGATTGAGGTGTGTGGAGGTTCCTGGGAAGAGGAGCAGAAGACCTGGGGAGTGGGGCTAGATCTCTCCCCTGAGGGAAAAGCATTTGGTCATGTGCGATCTCCTCAGTGCATAGCAAAAGTCTGTAACAGAGAGAACGTGGAAGTGGGAGGTAAGAAGTGAGGCCGCAACAATGACGCTTCTACACAAATCCCGCCATTGTGAGCTTGGAGGTGCTGGCATGTCCCCAGGCCATGCATGACCCCTGAGTGACCCTGCCATCTTCATGCCAAAGAACCAGGTAGCAAGGACTTTCATTATGAGAGAGCCATGGCAGGGCTGAGGTGATGGCAAAAGATGCAGGCAACTCTTGAGGACTCGATTCTCCCCGAAGGCCGCCACCATCAGCCTGAGGGAGGGGAGCTGGGTAGAGGCACAAATGATACAACTGGGCTTCAAAGCCCCACAGTTCCTACTGTAACTGTTGACAGGACCAAGAACCAGAAACTTAGAAACTCAGTATAGAGTCAAGACTTGGCATTGCTTCCTCTGGAACGAAACACCTCAGCCCTGCCCCTCTCTTCTGGGAGAAGGACCTGACATGGCAGGGGGGCTTCTCAGATATTGAGGGCACCACTCAGCCTCCAGTTCCCCTCAAGCCAAGCAGGGAGAATCCCTTCAAGGGGAATTTTGAGGACAAAGGCTGTGGAGCTCTGCCTTTGGGGACACATTACAAGTCTTAAATTACACATTTTCCCACTCCCAACACACACATATCTATAAACACACAGAGAGATACACTCACACGCAGTGACATTTTCCAGTCCATCCCGATCCATGCCCCAAATCCCACCCACAAATACTGTCCCCTGTAAACATGACGGCAGAGACTCCCACAACCCTGGTGTAGTCTGACAATGGTCTAAGGATGACCTCTTCTTGTTAGGTGCCCCGGTAGGTGATATTGGTGAAGGTGGAGGTGGCCTCTTTAAACAGGGGGTTGTTTGCCTGCAAAGAGAACACAAGAGAAGCTCATGGTCAGTTCCTTGCACTTCCTCACTCTGAACCGTTGAACATCATCTGAGAATTTAGCCCAGGACACCCTTCTCTAGAGTGAACTGTCAGGAGCAGCTGGTGTCACATTTACACCTTTGCTCCGAGGATGGGACTGGACAGGAAATAAGGAGAGACAAGATGGTGAGCTGCGAGCCCGCTGCTGCTTCTGAAGGCCTCTAATCCAGCCTCTAGCTCTTGGTGGTGATGTCCATTAGCTCTCGGCAGTCCCCAAACAATACGCCATTTTACCCGGTCTCTCCTATCTCTTCTTCTCTCCCTACCCTGTCTTCTCCTCCATCGAGGCAGTGCCAGGTGATGTGAGCCAGAAAGGAAGATGTAGGGATCAGAACTCAGAGCTCTGCTGGAATAATTCCTAACTTATTTGATCTCATCTCTTGAATCACTGGCTACCCACAAACCTATTGTGTACTCGGGAAAACAGAAGACCTTCACTGGCTTTCCAAAATTACTTCCCAACAAAAAGTGATGAATTCCCCACCCCCAATAGTAGTTCAAGAAATTTAGAACATTCTTGGATCCCTTGGTGGCTCAAAATGTTCTACACAGCCATAGAAACATAGAACCATCTCCGTCTGCTTCTTGGGTCCAGTGGATACAAAGTCTGGGGTCACCAGGAACAAAGTTTCAGCCTGACCCTGGACACTCTAAAGTCAAACAGTCACTTGGTAGGCCCAGAAAAAATAAAATGAGCAAAAGGAGAAGAGACTAAAATGAAATACACAGATGCCCATTTGACAGGCTGGCAAGCTGGCAGAGTGGGGGCAAAGCGCTGGCAGTGCACCGTGATGAGCCTGAGTTTGAGCCTCAGATCCCACAAGGAAAAGAAATGACTCCTGCAAGTTGTGCCCTGACCTCAGCACAAATGCCATGGCGCGCACGCGCCCTCACACAAACATTCTTTTTAAGTCTCATTTGGTTAAATCAGAATAAACTGTATTCTGGGCCCCCCAGAGAAGCCCGGTTTGGAAGGAGAGAGTGAAGTAAACAGATGTCCTGAAGCTACATCTAGGAGGTTGACCCCGAAAGTGATTCCTGTAGTCACCTAATTCCTTCTGTGCCAGGCAAGCTCCTTCAATTCTCTGCCCTCAGCTTCCTTAACTATCAAATGGGATGGTAATACTGTCCATCGAAAGGGCTTTTACAGAGATAAAGCAAAGGAGGGTGTCCAAAGCATTTACAACACTTCTTGGTGCTCTTCTGTCACTTTCTGTTTGCGTTTAAACTTCGGACTCTCTCACAGCGATACAGTGTGCTCTGTGTTCATGATGTGGATTTGTCCTGTCTCCCTCCGCTGGAGGGTAAGCATCTCCTATCATCACAGTAGCCTACGTGTGCAGACAGTGATCATGACATGTGCTCACTGTACGGCAGAGGACTCCATGAAGTGTAAAGACAAAAGGACAGTCAAAGCATCTCCCAAGGTCTGGAACAGAGGACAGCCAGGGAACGGCTGTCGGGGCCGACTCTGACCACCATGGGCATCTACTGCCTCAACCTCACTTCTTGAATGAAAGACTTGAGAAAACACGAAGCCCGGCACAGCCTCTTACTGTGTCCCATTTGGCTCTGGCTCGTTCTTCCTCGAATTTAGCAAATTCCTTCCGGTCGTGGATGGTGATGAGCAGCTTCCAGATGAGCAGCGTGGCAAGACCGATGAGCAGAATGGCTCCCATCACTGAGAGCAGGACCACCAGGATGTCAGGACCCTTGGGGCACTCTGGGAGGCAGAGGCAGAGAGCAGGAGTCAGCAGGCATGGCTAGGAATGAGGTCTTAACAGGTGAACAGAGGGCCAGAAATAGGACAATCAGAACAGTAATTTCATCACTTTCCAAAAGGGGACAATCTTCAGGACAGCAACAGTCTGTCCTGAGTGGTCTAGATCAGGGTTCCCAGGCTTAATCAATCATAGCCATTCAGTGTAGGGTCACCAAAGCGTACGCTTTAGAACTTAGAGGAGAGATGGCTCAGAGGCTAAGAACACCTGTTGTTAGTTCAGATTAATATTCTATTCAAGATTAAGTTCCTAGCACCCACATGGTAGCCAAGAATCGCCTGGCATTCTCTTCTGACTGCCACTGGTACCCAGGCACGCATACGGTGCATCTACATACAAGCAGACTACTCACTCAGACACATAAATCTCAAAATCAGTTGTTTTTTTTTTTAAAAAAAAATGATTTGGGGGGTGACTAATCACGGTGTTTCCATAAAGTTTTGGCCTCTATCCAAAGCACGACAAACACACACACACACACACACACACACACACACACACACACCTGCCAATACTAGAACTCACATCCCTACAGAGCAGTATATTTTTTATATTCAGAACATTTATTTGTTTTCTGCTTACCAAAGTCCTCATCTCTTTCCCCTTTCTTCCCTAAGCACAGGCAAAGTGTGACTTGTCCTTGGATCTGTGCCACTGGGCACTCTGGAGCCAAGAATGCCTGGGTTTGAATGCTGGCTTTAATGCTTGTTTTGCTTATCTGACCTTCAAGAAATTTACCTTTCTGGGTGTCTGTTTCCTGTTTCTCCATCTTTCAAATGGAACAACTATTCACACTCATTCAAGAGCTTGTGCTGAGCAGAGACTAAGCTAAGTAGATTTAAAGAGCTCAGGCTAGTGCCCGGCACAAAATGAACTCCTCCATCAACACTAGCTGCCACTGTCCCTGGTGACGCTCTCATTCCTAGTCTTCCTTTGTCCCTGACGACACTCTCATACCGAGCCTTTTCGCTTACTGTCCCATTGGCAGTTATGTCTCTTTCCCTGGTCCAGATACTTACATCCCCAAGAGCTATAAATTTGGTGGCCTTCTCAGCATCCTTACAGACCAGGATACCTGCCAGTCAGGACAATATTTAGTCATCTTAACCCTATTGGAAGCTGACTTCTTTGTTCAACCCCGAAGTCAACAGCCAAAGCAAACAAGCTATGTCACTCCTTCATGGGTCAGCTGATTGTATTTTGTAGAGCTCAGCTTCCCATAAGCCTCAGGTGTCCAACAAGTGATGTCATACTGGCAACTTCCAGTGTTATGAAACCAGGTGTTTATATATATGGGTGTTGATGAGTCTGGGAAGGAAGTCACGCCCACTTTCCACTCTGTCTCCCACCTTCTTCTCTAAACAGACACTCTAGCTCACCACACACTGCACAAAAACAACCGCCACCACAAACCACTCTGGCCATTTCCCTACCCAGCAAATTACAACCTATCAATAATTAAGGGGCTCCTGGAGAGAGCTTGTGCGGTTCCAGGGTCCAAATTACCAGGAGCAAAGGGTCTCAGTTCTTCTGGGAAAAGCAACCGTGAATTCTTTGAAAGCTTGGGGTAGGGCTGACCCTCAAACCTCAAAGTGAAATCTTTACATGGTGGTCTGGGCAACACAGGTAGAAGCCTAAAGAAAAACAGTCTGTCCCCACTAGGGGTCGAAGGCAGGAGACAATAAGTACCAATTGTCTCTGGAGGACCCTCACAAGCACAGCAGGGGACCCACAGTGGTCCACACACAGCCTTGGAAAGGTTGGCAGATTTAGTAAACAAAAGTATAGGAAGTCCAGGTCAATTTGACTTCCGATAAACAAGTTACTATTTTAGTGTGTGTGTACTAAATATTGCATGGAACACATCGTGGTTTTTCTGGCAGCCCTATTAGAGAGTGAAAAGGGCCCAGTTCGGAGGCCTGTTCCATGTGACTGAATCCATTGGGAGATATTCTTTACTGCCCTGCAGTGACTCAGCCCTTCAAAAAAAAAAAAAAAAAAAAAGACATCTGCAAGACCATGGGATGGTGAAGGCAGCAAGAATAATATCTTTC